GAAATAACCCAAATGTTCATCAACTGATGAATGGATAAACAAAATGTGGTATATCAATTCAATGGAATATTATTGAACCACAAAAAGAAATGAAGTTCAGACATATGCTACAATGAATGAACGTTGAAAACATTATGCTAAGTGAAAGAAGTCAGTCACAAAAAACCACAGATTATATGATTCCATTTATATGAAATGTCCATAATAGGTAAATACATTGACAGACAGTATATTAGTGGTTGTTTAGGGCTGAGGTTGGAGGGAAGGATGAGGAAATTGGGAGGTGATGGTAAAAGGGTACAGGGTTTCCTTCTGAGTTGATGAAAATATTCTAAAATTGATGGTACAGATGTTTACACAACTCTTTGAATACACAACAACCATTGAATTGTACACTTTAAATGGGTGAATTGTATGGTATGTGAATTATATCTTAATAAAGCTGTTACAAAAAAGCAATGTCATACAGCAAATTCAGAATAAAGGAAAAAAATCATATAATCTCAAAAAACGAAGAAAAGATGATTTGATAAAATTCAACATTCATTCATGATTTAAAATTTTAATAGTCTTGATGAACTAGTAATATAAGGGAACAACAAAAATCTGTTGAAAAAAGAAAAAGCCCACAGTAAACATCAGTCTTAATGGTGAAATATCAAAAACCTTCCCTTTGAGCCTGGGAATGAGATAAGAATGTCTGCTATCACCATTTCTATTCTACATTGTATTTGAAGTCCTAAACTGTGTAAAAAGATAAAATATTTTTTAAAAATTAAACTTTAATTATTCATAGACAATATGAGTATTATGTTAATAGAAACCACAAATAATCTATAGACAAATTATTAGAATAATTGAGTTTAACAAGGTCACTAGATACCAAATAAATATATAAAAAGTCCATTGTTATTCTACACCCCAGCAAAAAAAAGAGTAAAAGATGCCATTTACCACAGCATCAAGAATTTTCAACTACCTAGGAATAAATCTAATAAAAGATGTACAAGACACAGTAACTGTAAGATACTATAGAGATATATGAAAGAAAAACTAAGGAAATGGAGTGACATACTAAGTTCTTTCATTGGAATACTCAGTATTGCAAAGCTGTTGATTTTCCATAAACTTATCTATAGTTTCAACACACTTCCAATCAAAATTCCAACAGGTTGCTGGCTATTTTTACCCCTTGGGACTTGACAAGTAGATTCTAATATGTATATGGAAATGCAAAGATCCAAGAATAGAAGGATGGTCTTGTATAAAAGAAGATCAAGATGAAAGGACACTGTTTATCTGAAATCAAGACTTACTTTAAGGTTAATTATAGACAAATGTATTAATGGAACTAAACATAGAGTCTAGAAACAGACCTAGATATATGGGTGTATGATTTATGGGAAAGATGGTACCACAGGGCAGTGGGGGAAAGAAGGTCTTTTCAACAAGTGAGTATCTGTATGGAAAAAAGTGAAACGATATCTATCTCAGACAATGCACACTAATCATTCCACGTGGCTTACAGACCCAAATGTGAAAGGCAAAATAATAAAATTTCACAATGACAATAGAAGAGAATATCTTCATAATTTTGGGCTGGAGAAAGATTTCTCATTAAGCACAAAGCATAAATTGGACTGTATTAAAATTAAGAACTTCTGTTCAACAAAAGCCAGCAATAAAAGAATGAAGAAAACAAGGTAGAGATTTGGAGACATTATATGCCACACATAATTCTCAAGGGATTTGTATCCAGAATATATAAAGATTTTATACAAATCAATAAGAAAATCACACACAAACACACACACACAAGCCCAACTGAGAAATGGGCAAATGATGTGAACAGGCACTTCACAAAAAAGGATTTTCAAACAGCCTATAAACATGAAAAAAATGCTCAGCTCATTAGTCATCAGGAAAGTGTAAATTCAAACTACAATACAATAATACCTCCCACATTACCAAATGTATTTTAAAAATGAATATACAAAATGTTGGTGGGAATTTGGAGTAATAGAATGAATGCTCAAACACTGCTAATGGATGTAACCTGGTACAATTATTCTGGGAAACAGCTTGCAAAATTTTTTTTCTAGGTGTTTCTCCCTAACAGAAATATGTGC